ACGCATTTTTCAATGATTTCAGAATGGTTTCAACATAACAAATATATACATAACAAATATATCACAACACAGAAAAAAGAAAATCCGGGATGAGATTTTATATAGTTCATGAGTTTTTTTTGAATTGGAAAACATTTATTGGGAATCAATGGCTGGATGTGCGAAATACATCGCCGAATGAACTTACTCGCCAAGCAGTATACTTATATACAGATAAAAAGAGTGCATTGAAAACCACCAAAAGTGGAGTTCCACAAGATTCTGTTTTAGGTCCGACTTTTTTCTTAATTTACATCAATTCTATTACAGAACTGAATTTATATGGTTCTATCTGTCTTGCTGTTGATATAACCCTCATTTATTTTTCTAAAAATACCAATATCGTTGAAAAATCAATTTTAAAAGACTTTAAACTAATATCACTTTGGTTGAGATCTCATGAGTTACATTTGAATTTCGATTAATCTTGTTTTACAATTACATCCAGAACAAATTCAGATTACAAAACGTTTTTTCTCAATTCCAATATTAATTTGATAGAATTTAAGAAAGAAGTAAACATTTTAGGTTCATATCAGAAAGAAAATTGCATCTCTTGTAGGTATATTTTATAAAATATGAAATTCCTTTCAATTATTTGAAAACAATTTATTTGAATATTCAACACCTAACATCAGGTTGTGCAACAGCTAATTCCTCTCATTTGAAACCTTTACAAAATTACAAAATAAAATCATAAAATGTATATACAATATATCAAATTCATTAATGATAATCGTTCTGCTTGTATGTAGTTGTCATAGACAGGTTCGCCTGGACCTAAATGACTGAACTATTTTATTTGCAAATCTGTAAATGATTGGAATTTAGTATATGTAATTTGTTATTGCGAATAAAGTTATTGTTATATACAAGCTGAGAGGACCAGCAATAGACCTACAAAAATATTTGATATTAGGGGAATATACCATTTCAAAATATGCATGTTCATTTATAATCTGTTTAAAAAAAAATCTGTTTTTCCGTTAATCAGCTGTCGCCCCCATACGAACGACAACTCTCAGAAGTTGAGAAACTTGTGCGAGCTAAGGACTAACGAGGTCTTACCTTTTAACGTGTGATTCCTAACACNACAAATATGATATGTATTATGTCTTTGTTACCTGTAGCTGTAATTTGTATAATTCCATTCATCTAATGTTCGTTATATATTTCAAATAATTATGTAATTTATCTTTCTACATGTTGCATTGAAATTTTTCGAATGTATAATGTTGCTGTTTTTGTAGTAATGTCTTTAAAAATATTTTATTGAACTTATGTTTGTCATACATTTAAGTCATTTCTATATGTAACACATACCTTTTTTTTATTTCTACCATTCTAGTTGATTTGTATATTATTAGGATATCCTATTTAAATAAAGATCTATCTATCTATAAAATTACCGTTGTGTACAGAGAATTAGGAAACAATTTAGTGCCAGTGTATCTATTGGTGTTCTAATATTTTGATAAATTCGAAGTAATTTTCGAAGATAATTTTTTTTTGATTCTATAGAGAAGATTTTATAGTTTTTAATACGTTTTATTCTTAGGGGTAGAATATTACAAATTTTAGGTAGTGTGTAAGTTAAAAAGCGATGACAAATATTTTCATTGAATTTTGGAGTGGGTAGCAATTCGTTTGTTGTACTTGTAGTAATATAAACTGTGGGAACATAATACCATTTCATATTACTCAGTATTTGAGATACGACTGTAAAATGTGTTTTAGTTTGATCAAACGAGTAAACTGTTAGAAAAAAAATTGAAACATTTTTTATACATACACATCTAGAAATTGAAGAAACTCAACAAATATTATATCTGTAAATTATTTTCAAGATCACCCAATTCGAAAAAGTGCTTAGAGTTGTCCCGGGCCTACTCCTTCTTAGAACCAAGACCTCAACAGCGTGTCTTCAGAGCATCAGATCTAGTGAAAGGAGAACTTTTGGGGCAGGGTTTCTTTGGGCAAGTATTCAAAGTTACAACTAGAGATACAGCTGAAGTGATGGTACTGAAAGAGCTGTATCGTGTCGATGAAGAAGCTCAAAAAAATTTTTTGAAAGAGGTGATATAATAAGCAGCTAGGGCCTTTGAAATTATTTTAAATTTTTTGTTTTTTAAGGTTGCAGTACTGCGGAGCTTGAACCATAATAATGTTCTTCGTTTCATAGGAGTCCTTTATAAAGAGAGACGATTACATCTTGTTACAGAGTATATTTCAGGGGGAACTTTGACGGAGTTATTGCATGATTCAGCTCAACCTCTACCTTGGGAACAAAGGGTTTCCTTTGCTAAAGATATAGCTGCCGGTATGGCATATCTTCATTCCATGAATATAATTCACAGAGGTAAGTCATTAATAGTCGCAGGAGTAATTTTCAGTGTTGAGCATAATAAATATTACAGATCTCAATTCTCATAATTGTTTGGTACGTGATGATAAAACAGTAATCGTTGCTGATTTTGGATTAGCCCGAATCATATCACATGCAACGAACAGTGCCAGAAGAGTTTCTCCAAAGAGTGCAAATAAACGCCAAGAACGAAAAAAACGTTATACTGTTGTGGGCAACCCTTACTGGATGGCGCCTGAGATGATGAAGGGAAACAAATATGACGAGAAGGTTGACATTTTCAGCTTTGGCATAGTATTGTGCGAAGTAAGCTTTCAATTGGTATTGTATGAAATTGATTGATTTGTAGAAAAGTGACAGTTGGTAACCGAACGATAATGAATGTAAGAAAGTGAATGTGAATCAGAGAAAGGGTAAATGTGTTCAGTACATTGAAAGTATGCAGCTGTCCATAGATTCTCAAGGCATGGTGAAGATATATATTCCGAATTCCATTATATACAGCCTGACTCACGGTCGATTGTAGGTTAGACGTTTCAGGAAAACGCAAAGCATGATTTTTCTGAAAATTTCACCTCTCACATTTCCTTACCTGTTCTATCGATCTAAAATATTTTCAGCATTGCGGCGTTGCCACTTCCATCAAAAAGTCCTAGCAACTTTATTTTTTTTAAATGGAACACCCCGTATATTAATACATTTTTGGAATCGCTCT